CTTGTCTTCAGGTGGGGATGGGTCCCGGGCAGGATGTGACCATGGGTGCTGGGGAGTGGCTGGCCCTGGACATGTGTCCTGCCCTTTTCCTGCAGGCTCAATGGTGCCGTGATCAAAGGCTTCGAGGAGGATGTTGGGACCAAGATCTCCTTCTACGGCTTCACGGTGAACACCATGAAGAACTCCCTCATTGCATACGAGGAGTATGGCTTCACCCAGATACCCCAGGCCAAGGTGAGAACCCAAGGGTTTGTTGGGGAGGTGACCCCAAATTGTCCCCTGAGGCCAGGCTTGTCCCCCAAACCTTCTCCCCATCTCAGGACCCCTCAGCCCTCACCCTGCTGGCATGGGCAGTGCCCAAAACCCCCCAAGCACCACATCTGTGTCCCTGCTGCAGGACCTGAGGTACATCTTCATCCCCTCGGACGTCCGCGACTACGTGATGCTGAAGTCGGCCATCCAGGGTAGCCCGGTCCCCGAGGGCTCGGACAAGGGGGATGAGTGAGTAGCCCCCCAAGATCCCCCCAGCACCTTTGGTGACGCACTGGAAGGAGCATGACTTGCCTGCCCTCACCCCACATCTGGCCCTGGGGGGGATAGACCCCAAGTACCCCGAGACTCCCGTGATGTGCATTCTGCCCTTCTCCTCGCCCCGCTGCAGGCCACGGAAGTATTTCGGACCAGAGGCATCTGCAGAGAAGTTCAAGCTGCTGCATCCTGATTTCTTGCGGTACCTGACAACGAGGTGAGGATGATGAGGACCGTGGCTGCTGCCCGGCTCTGCCCCAGGCTGGGCTCAGACCGCCTGCCTCCCACCACTGCTCTCTCCAGTACAGACCAGTGGCTGCCCAGCATCAAAGCACAGTCCCAGTCCTCCCCAGGCACTGGAACCACCACTGTCCTGCTCTCTGCAGATAAAGCAGAGAGATTTGTTCCCCGCCATTCCCATTCACTGCAGCACAGCTCAGGACCCCTTCTGGCAGGGAGCCTGACTGTGCTCAACTCGCCTCCCATCTCCCAAAATAGATGAAATTTTGACCTGGTCTAACAGGAGCAGAGGCAGGGCCCAAAGGGATTGTCTTTTCCTACCTTTCATGAATGCAGGCGCCTGGGTTGGGGTGATTTCAAACAGCAGGGAGGTGCCTTTCAGCAACCTGCAGCGAAAGAGCTGAACCTTGGTAGTAGCCATCAGAGAATCCAGACGAGCACTGTGTTTCACTCGGTGCTCCTGCCAGACCGGGCACCGGCATCACCAAGTGCACGGTGGGGGCTGGACAGGCGCTGGG